ACTAAACAGACGCTATCAGTCCCCGCCCTCCCTCTTGCTTTAAAAATCGGGGAATGCTCCCATTACAGCCACATACGATCTTCAAGAAATCTCCCAAAACTTCACTCTCACAAGAGAATCTTCTTCTCTCCCTCCCTTCCATAATCATTCGCGGCCATGGATTCTTCATCTCATTCCGCGCATCTCTGCTTCTTTCTGCTTTCGGCTCTTCTCTTCCCTTCTTCGCTCGCTGCCCGGATGCTCCAGGTCGAGTTAGAAAAGGAGCCGCTCACCATCACCTACCATAAGGGCGCTCTTCTCTACGGCCCGATCTCCGTCAACCTCATCTGGTATGGTAACTTCAACGCCTCCCAGCGATCCATCGTCTCCGATTTCGTCGCCTCCCTCTCATCTGGCGATCCCCTGAACAACAAGCCCTCCATGTCATCCTGGTGGGCGATGGCCGAGAAGTACTGCGTCCAATCAAAGAAAGCGCTGCCTCGTCTCACCCTCGGTGATCAAATTATTGATGAGAACTACTCCTTGGGCAAATCCCTGAAGAACTTGGACATTGTAGCTCTCGCGACAAAAGGCAGGCATCAGCATGCCATAAACGTTGTCTTAACGTCCGATGACGTGACGATCGAGGGATTTTGTATGAGCCGATGCGCGACCCACAGATCGTCTCCCCTGTCCAAAGCTGGCCTGTTCGCCTACATATGGGTCAGTAACTCGATGCTTCAGTGTCCCGGCCAGTGCTCGCGGCCCTTCCATCAACCGGACTACGGTCCGCAGGCTCCACCCTTTGTGGCGCCTAACGGAGTCGTTGGAGTTGACAGCATAGTGATGAATCTGGCGAGTACGATTTTCAGAGCTTTAACTTTCCCGTTCGACGGCGGAGGATTTTTTATAGGTCCGAAGACGGCGCTGCTTGAGGCGGCGACAGCGTGCACGGCGATTTACGGTAAGAGAGCGTACGCTGGTTACGCCGGTGAGCTTCTGGTGGATTCAGTCACCGGTGCGAGCTATAACGCCAGTGGGGCTAATGGGAGGAAGTCTCTCCTTCCGGCGATCTTTGATCCGTCAACGGCTTCGTGTTCATCTTTGCTGTAGTTTTTAGCGAGTTGCTGAGTAGTTATAAAAGGTTATTAGATTATTAGATCTGCATAGGTGGAATGCTTTAAATCTGCATTTCTTTCATTGATTCAATTTGTTTTAGACTTAAATTTTCTTTAGAATGTTTATGTGCATTTCGTAGTTTATGATTCTCCTTTCATTTATTCTTGAAGGCTTTGAGTTTTTGACGAGTTTATATTCTGTAGAATTTTAAATCTCTATTTCTCCTCCGTTTGTCTCAAATCACTGATTTATTCAATAAATCCTGCTATTGGCTCGGATTTTAAAAATCAGCAGCTTTCGAAGTTCTTCTTTACGCATCGCTAATGTCGATGCCTTCGCCAGTCCTTGTCCAGCGAGCTTGGGGAAGAAGGATGAGGGGACTTAGTAAAAATATTATGAAAAAAAGTAGTTAAATTAAAGATATTGATTAATACAATCTATTTAATTGATATTAATTAAACAAGAAGGCTCTAATTTTAGCAAATTATTGTTTATTTATATTTTAATTTGATCAAATACAAATGAATACATATGATTACTTTCATGATTATTAATCAATAAATATTTAGACATATAAACCGAATTGATTATAACCTAACAAAATTTTTTGGCCCACGCAATTCATAGATGCCGTGGACCGTCTCTCAATGAGTCAAATTCATATATATTCTTGCATTTTTTTTTAAAATAATAAGAACCAAAGGATGAATTAAAACTATCAATTCAGTAAGGGTGGCCCATAATTTTGAATATGCCAATCAATTGGAATTTTCATAAGTGGCAAGTGATGCAACAAATGAAAAATGCTTAACAATTCACGTAACAATTAATGTTATTTATTTTTTTTTTAATTGTAACCATGCATAAATCTACAAGTTTCCTGCAAAATAATTAAAATTAATTGCATTGCTAACTTTATAATATCTGAGAAGCTTAGAAATTTAATTATAGAGGCTTTGATGCACCGAGCCAGAATGGCCGCAAAGAATTTAAATCTTCAAAGATTTTATTGATTTAAATGGTGAAAAATAAACAACCAAAAGAGGTTCAAAATGATTGGGTGCAAGGCCCGCCAGTATGTAAGGAGGCCGTTAAGTAAGCCTTCATGCCTAACGAGTTATTGCTATGAAACCTTTATGTGAAACAAAAATTATTTATGTAATAATGATGGTTGCTTGAATAATGACAAGCACTTTGACAATAAGCACTAAAAATATTCATGTGTACACTTCAATATAAGTATCGAGTCCCCTTCAATTACATGAATGGAAATAAAGTTCATCACATTTGAATATTTTGGCATACCATGGTTGATCCCACATGGAAATAAGATTTTATACTCCTAAGAGCATGGGGGTGTTTAAAATCTAATATCTAGCTTCCCAATGTCATTGGATTGGAAAATTAATAAAAGGAAAAGGCTTTAGTGATAGGAAAGGATGTCTTTATCAACTAGGCCGGGTGATCTCGATGATGCATAATTCGGTCGGGCTGCCATTAGGTTAGACGGTTGCTACACCGTTTGGCCATCATGTCAGGCAAACCTTTAATGAGGACTGATTCTACCAACTCTAAAAACCAGATAGCTCACCTTGCTCACCCGACATGACCATAGTCGAGGGCATTGGGCCCATTCACGTGAGTTTGATCGGATAGGTTTTTTGAGAGATAATCTCTTCTTACTCCGCCCGATACGTACGATTCGCTTGGTACACAAGAGCTGGCCAACGAAGCGAGGGGTCCTGGGTCATCCATGCTGAGTCCCCTGATGCTGCATCACATTTTTTTCTAATCGTGAAACATCTTTGAGATTCGTACTGGCACATTGCTGATGTACAACAAATATCAGTCTTGAACTCAAAATCATTTAAATGCATAAATCTACAAGTTTCCTGCAAAATAATTAAAATTAATTGCATTGCTAACTTTATAATATCTGAGAAGCTTAGAAATTTAATTATAGAGGCTTTGATGCACCGAGCCAGAATGGCCGCAAAGAATTTAAATCTTCAAAGATTTTATTGATTTAAATGGTGAAAAATAAACAACCAAAAGAGGTTCAAAATGATTGGGTGCAAGGCCCGCCACTATGTAAGGAGGCCGTTAAGTAAGCCTTCATGCCTAACGAGTTATTGCTATGAAACCTTTATGTGAAACAAAAATTATTTATGTAATAATGATGGTTGCTTGAATAATGACAAGCACTTTGACAATAAGCACTAAAAATATTCATGTGTACACTTCAATATAAGTATCGAGTCCCCTTCAATTACATGAATGGAAATAAAGTTCATCACATTTGAATATTTTGGCATACCATGGTTGATCCCACATGGAAATAAGATTTTATACTCCTAAGAGCATGGGGGTGTTTAAAATCTAATATCTAGCTTCCCAATGTCATTGGATTGGAAAATTAATAAAAGGAAAAGGCTTTAGTGATAGGAAAGGATGTCTTTATCAACTAGGCCGGGTGATCTCGATGATGCATAATTCGGTCGGGCTGCCATTAGGTTAGACGGTTGCTACACCGTTTGGCCATCATGTCAGGCAAACCTTTAATGAGGACTGATTCTACCAACTCTAAAAACCAGATAGCTCACCTTGCTCACCTGACATGACCATAGTCGAGGGCATTGGGCTCATTCACGTGAGTTTGATCGGATAGGTTTTTTGAGAGATAATCTCTTCTTACTCCGCCCGATACGTACGATTCGCTTGGTACACAAGAGCTGGCCAACGAAGCGAGGGGTCCTGGGTCATCCATGCTGAGTCCCCTGATGCTGCATCACATTTTTTTCTAATCGTGAAACATCTTTGAGATTCGTATTGGCAAATTGCTGATGTACAATAAATATCAATCTTGAACTCAAAATCATTTAAAGTGATTGTCAGAAATTTGTAATTGTCGTGTCATCACTAACTTTTCATCTAGCATGAATCTCGATGTATTTCTGTTAAAGGATCATTCAAATTCAAGATCGTAAAAGAGCTTTGAGATTTACGAGCAATAGACTGTTCGAGGAGAGATAGAACAAAAAATTGGAAGACGAACACAAACGCAAATGACAAACCCCAAGTGAGTCGCGGCCGAACCCTATGCAATTCTCGGTAGCAAGAATATTGAGCAAATTGTGACTGCCCAAGGAGAACTAGGACAAGAAATTGGAAGATGAACGAAATCGGCAAAACCCTAAGCGAGCGACCGAAACCCTTTCGCGAATCGTGATTTTGGAAGGACAAGGAGATGAGGAAAAGAGCGAAGTCCGAACGGAGCAACCATGCAAGAATAGCGGTCGGCAACCGGTTAGCGTTTTGTTAGTATATGTAGTATATTATATTACTTTTATAATTTATATTATATAAATATATCATTTAATACTAATATATTATTATTAATAATTTGTTATATATTATAATTTATAGGATTTAATTTTGTAAAATATATTAATTTTTTTAAAACAAATTTAAAAAATTTTAATTTATAATATATTTGAGTCAATTCGAGCTGAACACGAGCAAACAATTTTTTGTTCGTGTTCCGCACGTTTACATTTTGAGCTTAAAAATTTATTTGTTTTCGGCTCGACGAGCCGAACATGAGCTGTTCACGAATGACGAGCAAATTTGAGTGGACAAAAAACCATTATTAAAAATGCATTATGATTAAATAATTGAGTGAATTCACGAGCCTTAGTGCTTTGAGATAAGTTGGTTTATCTCATAATGCTCCGTTGCATCAAGTAAATCGAAGGATGGATTAAGATTAAATGAATTTTTAATAATATTATTTTTATAATTCAGTTAAAGTACTAAGTAATTTTTAATTGGCGAATTATTATTATTATTTTATTTATATTTCAGCTGACTTCTTCATGACGGTTCTATTCTTTCGCCGCGTCTTCCTATGAATTACATAACAGAAGGTACCAGTACGCCCTATTCCTCTCGCTATAAAAATCGGGGAATGCTCCTATTTTCCACACAGCCACAAACGATCCCCAAGAACTCTCTCAAAACTTCACTCTCACAAGTGTCCTGTTTTCCACACAGCCACAAACTTGAAGGCTTTAGTGATAGGTAAGGATGACCTTATCAACTCATCCAATAGAAGCTAGCTCAAGAAAAAAAAAAATTCTATTAAAATTTTCAATAAATTTACATGTAAAATTAGAATTATCGGTGTTAAGAGGGTTACGAAAATAAACAAATAGACAAATAAGGTGGATCCAATGTAATGAAATTAATAATTCATTTTTGCATCTTCCAACATTGATCAATATAATAAGCAGTTAGACACATGTATTTGATTCGAACTCCAACAATCTAAATTTAATGAAAAACATGTGAATATCCATAAAATGCTTTCTGAGTTTCTCTTTTTCGAACTCATAAATCTTCATGCAATCATTTTTTATTGTGTTCCTTGAAATTTTCTCATAATTTGGGTTTAAGAATTTCAATAAAATGTTAAACCATGCATGCTCAACAATATTAAGTGGATACTCATGCACTATAATCATTTTGGAGATTATTTCTCTAAACTTATGTTGGTCATAACTTTTTGGATCATGAAATACTAGAATCTCAACATCTATATCAAGATCAAGGGGAATAAAATTCAAAATTTGTTGTCTTTTTCAGAAAGATCAACTGCTTGCTTATTTTTAGCTTTGAATTGTCCACATTCCCTCACATGACTTAGAAGTTGTGAAATAATTCTTGTTTTAGATTTTTTAAATTTTATTCGACAACAAATACACTGCCAAAAAGTAGTTTGAACTCCCTTAATCGGAAATATTGCCTACACAAAATACTCCCACACTACTCACTTCGTCTTCCTACCCTTCTTAGAAAAGAATTTTTCACTGCTATTATCAATGACAACTTGTAGTAGTATTTCTGGCTCTATACTTTTTAAATTGAGATTGGCATTTTCGTTGTTATTCTGAGCTTCTGGTAGTAACTAATTATTGGATGATTCTGACTGTCAAAGATCTAATTCGGACATATTTGCACACTAACTGAGATCAAAACTACGGAATTAGTATCACTTTAAATTGATTCGGCTGAAATGAAAACAAGTATGAGTTCTAAAAGTGTTGTTTCTGCAAGTGATGAAATATTTGGC